AAGGCTAAAAAGAGTCTGCCACGAGTGTTGGTGTACGCCGATAAAAACCAGAAAAGAAAGGTTCACAACCAACAACTGTCTCATAGAGAAGTTGAATATTGTGTGATATATTTGTGTATATATACGCGCGCGTGTTTCTGTGTGTGTGTGTGCGAGTACGTGTGTGCGTGCGTTCTCGAAATCGAGAAGAAGCGACTCTACTACTACTACTACTACTATTGTCTTTTATAAAGCAACAGAATTTTTCAAAAAGGACGCGCAAATAAAAAAGAAAGCAAAGCTCAGCATTTTTTTCCCGTCGAGTGAAGTGAAAAGTTTGTTAAACTTTTTGAAAAGAATTTCAAGGATAATTTTTTCAATTTTCCTTTAATTGAAAGCAATAAGAAAGGTGAGATCTATTTAAAAAAAAAATAAATAAATAAAAAATTCAATATATAATTATTGCAAAAAAAATAAAAATAGAAATTAGTGAATAAAATTTATTTTCATTGAAATATTTAACCTGTTAATAAGAGATATTTCTGGCTCGGGTTTAAAGAGATCCTTTATCCTTCCTAAAGTCTGTCTTTCATTATATAATGATTAATTATGGTTAAGGGAGTGAGTTAGTTAGTTAGTTAATTAGTTAGTTAGTTCGTACGATGTTAGTGAATAGGAATTGATTGAATTAAAGTCGTATATAAGTTTTAATTTCTCGAAGGCAAAGTTTCTTTAGTGAATATTTATTTGTATTTATAATTTATATTTACAATAAAAAAAAAAAAAAGAATTTGACGTAAACTATCTCTTTGACTCAATTTTATTTATTTATTTTTTTTGTAAAGTTTTTCTTCAATCGATATTGTTTTTAAAATTGTCCTCTCTCTCTCGACAACAACAACAGCAACAATAATTATTATTATTATTACTCTAACGGTATTTACATTTTCTTTGTATATATACATTCCACTGGTATAATAGTAAGAAGGTGAAGAGCGAGCGACAGCCAATTAACAAGCAAGTCAAGTCAAGTCAAGTCTGCTGCTTAACTTACTTACCGACTAAAACTGACAAGCTGCCTGTTTGCAAGGCCTTGCCTTCCTTCCAAAGCATAATCCATAGATCGTTAAAAGAAATTAGTTTTGTGTTTTTCATTTTACATTTATTTTAATTCTTTAAAATGTCGAGGTTCTGCAAATGATTGATGCCTGCATGCTTTTCTATGAATATATGCGTATATATATATATATGTATGTATAGGTCATGCATGATGTACAAAATAAGCGGTTTATTTTCTGCGAATTTTATTGTTCGTATGTCAGTTTCTTTATTTTTTACTTTTCTACCCTTCCTCCGTTCATTACTTTGCTAAGAAAAACGCGAAAGATAAGCCACACACAACGGAAGTTATTTAAGGAGCAGACAAAACTTGTTTTCATTTCTCAAAATCTTATACCAAACAAAAACAAAAAAAAAAACATCCTTAGAAAATTAATTATTCATCAAAGTATTTTTTTATATATTGAAGTTTATAGAAGAATATGGTTCTTCATCTATTGATTACTCGCTGATATTTAGATGTAACCAAAGGCAAATGTGTTACTAAAACGTAAATTATATTTACCTTTAGTCTCCCGCCACCACTAGATTATATGGTAGGATTGATTGTAAGATAAAACAAAAAATTCAAAATTATTTCGTTTCTATGGCAATTGTCGGCAGTCGATTTTTGAAAATTTCAAGCGAGCATTTTATGAAGGGAACAGATTTAAGAATCCAACTAAAATTTTGATTTTGATAATTAATTAGATAGGGAAACTTATTGTTATTATTATTATTGTTTTTTTTTTTTTTTTGTAGACAGAAGTGTAAATCGCACTGTACTTATTGCCTTGTTTTGAAAGTGAGAGAAAATTTTGCATTAGTATCGCTCTTTTAAATTTACTTTAAAGTTCGAAGACGACGCGGTTTCAGCTAACAAGGGAATGAGCTTTGCCGAGTTAATTCGACTTTTTCTCATTAATCAATTGTATCTTCATATATATGTATTTTTAGTGCATAAATTATCAAATCATTTATCAAATATATTTAATAAATCTAATAATATATATATATATATATATATAATAAAAAAGTGAATCCCAAAAATTGCCTCCACTTTTGAATTCCTCAAGCAGCCTAATTAAGCTTGAAATCAAATTAATTTTAGATTTTCGTTTACTGGGAAGGATCGTACAGATCGTACAGACATAGTTTTGATTTTATGTTCAAAACTATTTTAAAGACCTTCTCTTCATATTTATACGCAATAAAATATTCAATTATCGAATGCGGACCGCGCGTGTACCAATCTCTCTCTTTTATTGGGACACAATGAAGTTAGATCTTTTATCATTTATCCAAATTGCATCTGTTTGCTTGCCTCTCATATGCCGTTTAAAACACATTTCAGTCAAAAGATCCATACTCTTAACGTTAACTTTTCTGTGTTTCATTTCATACTTTCTTAGTAACATCATGTTGTTTATTTACTTTATTATTGTTGCGCTTTAATTGCACAAATGTTGATTCAATGCTTAATATTTCGTTTTTATATTTTATATATATATGTACATATATATTATTATTACTATTTATTTTGTTTTTCTTTTTCCTTTTTTTTTTTTTAATTAAAAAATATAATAATAAGTTATTTTAGTTTAAAATGCTATCATTGTACATATATTGTTGTATATATATATATATACATATATCTATCGCTTTCGCCCTTCTTTAATACTATACTCTACAAGTATTTATACTGTTATCAAATCAACACCTTGTAGAAAACATCAGTCACAGTGCATTGCCTATCATGTTAATTAAAGAGAATGCACTTTGCTCGGTAATGCTTGCTTTTGTTGTTTTACTCTTAAGTGACGACCTGACGCTAATTATGTCGCCACTTAAAAAAAAAAAAAAAACGTAAGAGTATATTTGTGCTATAATTATATATATATATATGTATATGTATGCTTGTTTTTTTGTGGTATATTTAGTGTAGGTGTACAAGAGAGCGAGAGATTAAAAAGCATTTTCTAACGGAAATTAAAATACTAATTGTCTTTAATAGACTCTGTCAAAAACCGAAACATTATATATGCTTCTGTTTTTGTTTCTACAGACGCATATAAGCCCCCGGAGTGTATATATATATATGTATGCGAGCAGCATTGCAACGTCAAAATATAAAACTTCTGTTTGTCCCACTAATTATTCGTTGTTCCGAATAATAATAATAAAAAAAGTAATGAACCACACATTTTTCTGTTTTCCTCTGATGGCCTGCGTACGTATGTGGCGCTGTGTACGTGTTTGCGCCTGTGGGTGTTGGGTTTTTCTCTGTGTAGCAACATTTTATTAAACTTATAAATAAACACATGTGTTATACCAAATCATTTAATAGCTGCTGATAGTTGCTTGCTATATATATATATATATATATATGTATTTATTGTATATGTATATGCGGGCTTTTGTTTATATTGCGTATGGTGGGCGTTTATTAACGCTTTGTTTCAAATTACAGTTATTTTCTGTATATATATTTGGCGCCTTTTCCTTTAACAAAATTCTTACTCAGTCCTCTTCTCATAAGTTGTAAGTAAGTGCGTAGGCTTGATACTATGAACAACTAATTCACATATATATATTTATATATATATATGTAAACTATGAGAAAAGTCTTCGACTCTTTATCGAATGTGGGTTAAAAATCAATTTCATAGCAAGTGAACTTTACAAATAATTTAGAAGCTTGTCGATTTCACTTTCAGCGAAGGTTTACGTGTTCAGTTAGTTTGGTTAGTGTTTCATTTGTCTCTCATTATTGAATCAAATCTCTCTAATGCAATCTTAATATCCGACAACGTTATATATTATGCATTATGCAATAATTCTTTTTATTAGGACAGATGGTAGGGTGTTGTTGTACCGCGTTACACTGACCACTTGAATAAATTCAAGTCGTTTTTTTTTTTTTTTTGAAAATAATTCCGCCGCCATCTGCTATAATTTGTTACAGGTACTAATAGATAGAATTTCTAGTTTTTATGGCATTCATTGATTTTTAGTCGTCTTTTTTTTTTTTTTTTTACTTTGTTATCAGCGTGTAAAGAACATACACACATACGTACATATGTAACCGTGAATATTTGTATATATTCTTCTTTATTTTTATTTGTTGTTGCTTTTGTTTTCTTTTCATTTGAAATTTCATTTTAATATTTTTAATTATAATGAGTTTACATGAATTTGCAATAATGATAATAACAACAATAGTAATAATTTTTAATGATTTTTGTGTGACTCGTGCTAATGGCCCCGCGCCAGTGCAACCAACCATTAGAAAGAAAGCGTCAGCTTGGCGCACTAATTTTTTTTTTTTTTCCATTCTCTCTTCTTTCTCTTGTCTCTTTCTCCTCCCTCCCTCCCCCCCCTTTGGCCACGTCGTTTATAATAAAGAAAAGTACAATAGTTAGTTATGGTAATTTTTTTCAAGTGCATTTCTTTGGCCATAAAAGCAACGCTAACCAAATCTATATATATATATATATATATATATGTATGTATGTATATATGTACACATACAATAAAATATTATATTCTACTTTTATATGTATTTTTATGGTTTGTTATTTAATCAATGTTTGTATTTATGAAGACAGGCAGACGTTACACGCATACATATTTTATATCGTTAACATATATATATATATATATATATATATGCTCTGAATAGTCTCTTCTAATAAATATGGTATTTGGATAAATATCAAGGTTAAGATATACCTGCGTCAGCTTAAAAAAAAAAAAAAAAAAAACCCAAAAATCATAAATAAATAAATACTGGAAGAACAACAACGATTAATTACCTGGATGTTTCTTCCTTCGACGAAAAATTAATAGAAATGAATTCGTTAAGTCGTGAAACTATTTCGGATTAAAAATTTTCCTTTTTTTTTCTGTTTTTACAATTTCAGCTTTCGTCTTAATAAACTGACAAGTTCTTTGTGTACAACAATCTCGGAAAAATTTAATAAAATTATTGCCGACTCTTGTAAGGACAATTTGATAAGTGAATTTGATACAATGGCCAAACTGTGCAGTCCGTTTAGTACATCGCCACGTACATCATTTTTAAATGATTTATTGCCCACTCATAGTAGTTTCATGGATGAGTTTTACATTACGCCCGATCCTTTTGAGGTATTTGGTGAATTGCCTTCAATATATAGCGATATACAGAAAATGGAATCAGAGTCTGGATCGAGCGCAAGTTGTACCGCCCTCGATTGGTATGACGAATGCGATGTAAAGCCTGAGCTACCCAATTGTGATCTAATGTGGCCAGTGCCTCATACAAATTCATCATCATCGATAAGCAGTGACTTGGCCGTATCACCATCAGTAGTTACGGGCAATATTCCAACAAATATCAGAGATGGGGGAACGAATACAGTATCTGTTAAAGAGGAACCTAAATCGCCGTCGTCTACAGTATCGATAATGACAGTTAAAAAAGTTAATCATCATCAGGAATCATTTCAACTTGCAAGTTTGGAAAGCATAAAAGTTGAAGTTAAGAAAGAGCCAATCGATGATTCCGATGCACAATTCAAACAACAAAATATACCAAATAATAAAACTGTACAACAACATCAGCGTAGCATACATAATGCACCACCTGGAACATCATTATTAAGAAAATCAAACAATAGCATTACACAACAAAGAAAACTACTTCAACAGCAGCCCCAACAGCGTCAAACAACGCAACAAAGCACAAAACGCGATCATTTGTTATCCTGTGCTCCAGCATCTCATACAACAAATGCCAACAATTACCGTAACAATAGCAGTAACGGCAGTTTTCAGCAACCGGCATGTACTCCGCAACTATATCAACGTCCTGACACACCGCATAGTTTAGATGATGATAGCAGCACAACCGAATTCAAGCATAATATCGATTTAAGTGCCTGTGTCATGGGCAGTAATAGCATCTCTTTAACCGACTCGCAATTCATACAACAGGTCAGTCAGGAATTGCAAGATACAAGTAAATCGCAAATTGCTTTATGTATGGATTCGGAATCTTCTTTATCAGATGTGCTCGATGTTATTAGCACAGAGGTAACGAATACAACATCAAATCCTCTATTAGGAACAAATCGTCAAATTAATAATAGTATGAACGACGGTGGTAGTTATGCCAATAAAACTAATAACAGAAATAATATATCCATCATCACCAGCAGCAGCAGCATCAGTCATTCAAATTCATTTCGTTCATCTGAATGTGATAGTGACGATGATTTATCTACCGCAAGTTCAATGTCAGAAAATGAGACGGCCTATAATAGGGCAATGATGGCCAGTAGCGCTGTATCACCTGTTTCCAGTCAAAATTCCTCTAGCTCGTCGGCAAATAATGTACACAGTACCCAGCATCATATGGACCACAGTTATACTCGCTTAGATGATATGGGAACGAATTTAGATACACCCTCGGATTCCGGTGAGTCCTGGTCTCGAAATATTTTTCTTAATACTTATTTATTTATTTATTTATTCTTTTGTTATTTGTATTTTTTTTTTTTTTATATATGTATATATATATATATATATGTACATGCACATGTACATGTATTGATAAGATGAAAAGAAAGTACGTAAAAACGAGCTTTCTTAACAAAAAGCTTTTCATGAAATACTCTGCTGGAAGCTTTCTCCTAATTTTTGTCTATCGTTGTAAAAAACAAGCGTGCAGTTAATTATTTAGAAGAATTCATTGCAAAATATGGTGAAATTCAGATAGTGTCAGAAGCAATTTCCTCCTTTCCTTGCACACTCTTCTTTCATCATAGGAAGTAATGATAATACAATACAATCATACATTATTACGTCTTCTTATGACAAACTACTATACTAGTTTATGTAGTCAGACAAGACTTTATCAATTAATAAATTGCGGAAATAGATCAGAAGTCAGCGCATCATCAGTTAGTTAGTGGAGAATTGTCATCGAGATGTTAAATCATGTTTCTTAAGAAAAATATATATATATATATTAATTTTTTTTTTATAAAGCACAAAAAAAGAAGAAGTAGAGACATGGAAAAATTAATTAAAATTTTCAAAATTGTTTCGTTTCAAAATTTTTAAAAATGTTAAAGATTATGCTTAAACCTTTTCGAAACTCCATCTACAGGATTATATATATTGTATCTCTCTCTCTCTCTTTCTCTGTGAAATGTCCTTGGGTTCAAATCTCAGTGCAGTGCAGTATACCCATAGATATACCTATAGTGAGTGCTCCCTCAGTAAAGGCATATTATATTTATCGATTGCACACGCAATCCTATCTCTTTCCCCGTTCTCACTTTTTTGCCACCGTCACAACATTGTCCGTAGATTGACGAACCTTTCTTAAGTGCTGGATCACCGTATTATATGCACAGTGATCATTGTGTGTATTCCATCAATAATTGCAATAAATATCATGCGAGAAGGTATGGCTCGGCAATACGCATTTGAAATCGAAACCTTTGAAACACGCCTCAGCGAAGTATATTGGAACATAAGAATAATTTCACCCGAAATTCTATAAATATTGGGTAAATGTGTGTTTAAATTTCGTGATTTAGGTTTGTCCGTGCGTATCACAGATATTGGGGAAAAAAATTGAAATTTACAAAAGTGTTTTTTTCCTTGGAAAATTCTCATTGCGCCGCCTACAATTTAGAAATTTTATAAAAAGTGAATTTTTATGTTCTTAGCAGACAGACAGACAGACAGCGAGATTTGGCGCAAATATGTGATATACACATATATGATAAGGCTGTAAATATTCTTTTTGCATTTGATTAAAATTCAGACAACAATTTTTGAATTTTATATTATAGTCGCTTGTCTGGCGGGGGCAGGTCTTAAGAGATCTTTTAATATATTCATATTTTCGAATATATTGCTCTTTTAAAATTTTTTTTTTATGAAATTTGCGAATAATTTTCGAATAATAAAGAATAATAATTATATTATATAACATGCATTCTTTACATGCTACTACATGCATGCATGCATGCAGCCTTAAAAGTATTTTCATATAAATTTGGCGCCTTTTCTTGTTGCGCCATATATTGCGTTTTAGGCGTTCCTTGCCTAATGCAAAAATGTTAGAGAAATTTCCGTTTTTTCATTTTGTAGTTCACTCACTCACTTACCGGCTTCCCGCCTAGTGCGCATGTTAAGTATTTTTTATTGAATAAAAAATTTTTACTACTACGCCTAATAGTATGTTTAAGTTTTTATACATGATTTTAATTTATTTTTTTTATTTTTGTGCTTTTTCCTTTAATTTTTGTGTTATTTCCGAGAATTATTTTATAAAACTTTGGGTGCATTTTTTTTTTTTTTTGGAACATTCCCCCACTTTTTTTTTTTTTTTTTTTTTTTTTTTTTTTCCTATAAAATAACAAAAAAGAAGAGAAAGAAAACAAGTGGAATGAATAATAAGAAAATCAAAATAAATTTAACAAAATCTATTTAAAGGCTTACAATCTTGGCAAATAAATGCAGCATATTTTTTAGGGCATTTAGTAAAATTTAAAAAAAAAAAAAAAGGTAATAATAATAACAATACCAGTTCATTGACACTCTTTTCATATGTAAGTGAGTAGTTGTGGTCGTTGGCTTTCAAAAACAATTCTAATCAATGAAGGCATTGTCTGGTTATTACAGCAACAACAACAACAGCAACAACAACAATAAAACGACAACATTGCGAAGAACACTATTATTACTACCACCATCACTGTTACTATTAGCAAGCACAGCTGCTGTGTCAATTATCTTTCATATACATACCCATACGCGTTGTATGTATATGTGTATATGAGCTAATGTTACTTTATGTCTATCTGCATATTTGCTTGTCTGTTTGTCGTTATGTCTGCACATGCCGTTGTGCATGCTTAAATCTGTATACGTATTTGTGAGTTAATGTGTACGTTTGTGCATATGTAGTATACTTGCACTTGTCTAGTTTTTAGCCAGACATGCGCAGTTTTGTTAATTAGAGGCGTGGGTTATATATAAACGTCAATTCCCTGTACATACACACACACACACACACACACACACACCTCCCGTCCTCCGAGACCATAGTAGTAATTATAGTTTTCGCTTTTGTTTCTTTCGCGCTATAAACAAATTCATAAATCTTTAGGTTCTTGTTGTGTTTCGTAGTAGTAGTAGTAGTAGTAGTAGTACTACTAGTACTAGTACTAGTAGTAGTAATAGTAGTACTAGTATCTAGTGGTAGTAATTGTGTGTGAAAGTTATATATGTTTCTATATATGCATACCTTGCTTACACAAATCTACACATATATACATATATAAATATATTTATATATAATCTTATTGTCTAGAAAGGGCTTCGTATTCATGCATTCGCATTATTCTATACCTTTACGCACATGATTTTTGGCGCGAAACATGAAAATAATACAAATATTGAATGTATGTCTAGTTGTTGATCATTTTTTTTTTTTTTTTCTTAAATAAAGTATTTCACATATATATATGTAGAGAAGAAGAACATGCTTATTATTATACATGCATGCATGCATGCATGCATGCAAATATATTTTCCTCTATCTCCCTCTAATAAGCAATACAATGCCGGCCGGTCATTAAATATAGTATAGATGGCAGTGTGGTTTCACTGCTTATTGTTTACCTTGCAATGTTTCTCGTTCTTCGCTCGTCGCTGCTGTGTATACTAAAGTGCACAAGTATCTTATATAAAATTTCACGTTAATTACTACGCCTTGGGAAGAGTACGTTATCGTTTATAATTTAGATATCTCTCTCGCAATATGTAATGCATCATATATACATGCAGGAATATAGATATATGTGTGCGGTAATTTTACCGTCTGTGTCAGTGAATGAGTTGTTTATGTATGTGTACGTTACGTAGTACCAACAAAAAAAAAAAAAACAAGAACAATTTACGTTTTATTATTACTTTATTATTCAATCCGTTGTTGTTTCTATTCTAACATTTAAGTAACTCAGCCACTTTGCAAATTTTACTGTTGTTGTTGGTGCTTTTTTTTACATTTTTTTTAAATATTTTTTTTTATCGTTGTTGACGTTTTTTCGTCAATTATCTCATTAAATTTGACTTGTCAATCCAATCATCAAAACGCAAAGGTGATATGGCTCAAGATGCAGAAATTAACAAGAAATGCCTTAATAAAGTGAAATGCTTAATAGCCGGAAGCTTCACCACACAAATCAATCCGTGAGAATGTCATCGAAACTATGGCGCTATATTAATAAATCGTGGCAAACCGAGATGCCATAGCTATGAAACCTGTGACGGCAAACGACGAAAACACATTGTAAGATAGTTTCGTTCGAAGAGACTGAACATTTCGCGATTGTGTTGGAACAAAAGTGTGCGGCAAATGCCAGGGCAATGCCAGTGGAGCAAATGCTTAAAAAGCCAACTGTATATATAATGAGACGGGGGGGGGACAAACAAAAGACACAATCAGAGAAAGCGAGGAAAATGGTTGGGATGCAGTGACAGGAGGGGGGAGAACGGAAAAACAAAGGCTGCTTTAGTCAGCCCTGTGTGAAGTCAGTTGCGTCTGCGCGGCTCCAAAATTGAAAAGGCGAAGAAGCTACTTATATATAGGAAATAATACCCGAGAAATTGGAAAAACAAATGAAAGCGGAAAGAGGAGAGACTACAATTTAGAGTTGCCACTTTGCATCTAACATGCAAATTCATACAAACCGATCAGTCTCTTGGACAACGTTGCTAAGCTCTTAGAAAGACTGTTGCTTGTGTGATTAGAAAGGAAGCTGGAGAGTCGAGGTGGCTTTTCGAAGACCCTCAGATAACCATCCACTATGATTGTTATCGAGGGAGTGGTCTTCCTAGCGCCATACAACAAGGGTGAAAAAGGTTGTTACGCTGTCGTTACTTTGTATATCAGAGTCATTTTCAACACGATTGACTGGGAGGCTATTATAAAAAATTGAAATGATCCCAAGGGTTTCCCCGTTCTTGGTTAAAATGATGGATGGATAGTTCTTTGCATAATAGAAATCTACTGCACAATAAAGACGAGTGCGTAGGATAACACAGGATTACAGTAGGGATATCACAAGGATCCCTCCTATAGGTCCCTTCCTGTGGAATCTAATGTTTGGCACCCTACTGAACAAAGGGTTTTCAATTTATATATATGTGTATATATATATATATATTTATATATTTATATATTTATGTTTATGTGTATGTGTGTATATCTGTACGTGTATATGTTTGCATATGTATAAACACATATGCACATGAATGCATATATATATACATACATACACGTGTGTGTTTCGGGCTGCAGCAAATTGTTCTTAGTGCAAATACAATGAATTTCGTTTCATTTCCTTGTTAGGGTGATAATGTGTCGAGATTCTTCTCTTGCCGGTTTATTTATTT